CAGATCTGAAGAGGTGAGACCAGTGAGGAACAAGCTGACATGAATGGCCTGCTTGGCATCTGAGTCCAAGGTGATGTCCAGGCCTGGGCTATTGCCACAGAGGCTTGTAGTCTGTACTGCCACCTGGGGCCATGATGGTGTCCAGGGGTCATACTGCCACAGGGGCCATGCAGATATGAGTGGCCTGCGCTCTCACCCAGGGCCATGGTATAATCTGGGCCAGGGCTGCTGCCGGGGGCGATGTCTGGGTCCCTGGCCCTAACGAAGCCGGGGTCTGAGTTGATGTTCATGGCTCCTGTTACCACCAAGGGCCGTGCAGATGACCAGGGTTTGGTCAGCCACCTGAGACCATCTCAGTGCCCAAGGGCTATGCTGCTGCCGGGACCATATTGATCTGGGTAGCCTGTGTTGCCACCTGGGGCCATGCAGATGCTGGCCCAAGCTGCTACTGAAGATCATGTGGGTCCATGGTCCTGCTGCAGCTGGGGTCCTTGATGATGCCCTTGGCCCGTGTTAACATGGGGTCATAGGACTCATGCCTGTGGAAATCTGAGGGCTGAGCTGAGCTAGCCTTGCCCTTCACTGTGCCTGAGTTAGCTGGCCCTGCCCCTAGCTGGATAACTGCAGCAGGACAGCTGATCCCGCCCCTTGGGGGAGAGCTGGCCCCCACATGCAGGAAAGATGACTCCACCCCTCACCACAGGTATGCAATTCACCAGGATGGCACACTAGAGCTAACCCTATTATCGGGGATGCAGGTGGGCCAGCCCTGAGGGCATGAGAGCAGCAGAGCTGACCCTCCCCCTTCTCTGCCATGTGGTGGCATGAGTGAGGGAAAGATGCCCTCCCCCCTCGCCCTTTGCTACCTTCAGCAGACTAAAGAGCTGGTCCTGGGGTCACAAGAATGAGAGAACTAGCCCAGCCCCTCACCAGCTACAGAACAGGAAAGCAGGCACTGTACCCCGCCTGGACAGCGCACTAGAGCTGAACCTGTGGTTAGGGGTGCAGGTGAGCCAGCCTTGAGGGTGTGAGAGCAAAAGAGCTGAACCACTCCCAACCCCCCGCCTTGTATGCCTCCTACAGCAATCAGGAGAGAGGGCCCTGCACCTTGCCTGGGAAAAACAGTAGAGCTGAATCTGGTGGTGTGAGCCTAGGTGACCCAGATCCCAGAGCCCAAGAGCAGAACTGGCCCCTCTCCTTGCTGCAAGCTGCATTGGGTGAGCTAGCTGGGGAAGAGCTGGAGAGCTTGTCCGGGTAGTGATAAGGGGAAGCTGGTAGGCTGACCAACCCAGCTACCACCCAGGCCCAGAACCGGGGCTATGAGTTAGCCCACCTCACATCCACCTCATCTATGAACTTTTGGGGCATGGAATGAACCTACAGATCCCAAACTGCAGGATCTCCATGACACAGGACAACAACAACTCCTCTCCAAGAGGAGTCTCAGTGAGAGCCCACTATTGGTGGTGTAGCAGAAGCCAGAGGCCTTGAGCCAGACCAATTATCTAAGAGGAGTTCCAATGATGGCCCCACATCAATAGTGTAGCAGAAGCCAGAGACTTTGAATCACACCTATGATTCTTCGAAATGAACACTTACAAGTAAAGATGAACGGACTAAAGGATAAACTGTTATTCAACGGGCCACACTATGGTTTCCAAGACAAGATTCTTCTCCTTTTTCTTTCTTTCTTTTTTTTTTTTTTGGTTTTTTTGTTTTGTTTTGGTTTGGTTTTTGGTTTTTCTTTAAATTTTAAATTTTGTTTTGTTTTGGGGGGTGTTACATGGGCAGAGGGTGGTTGTAAGAGGAGATAAGTGGGATCTGGATGCATTATGTGAAATCCACAAAGAATCAATAAAAGTTAAAAATAAGTAAGTCCATCATCAATTTTTCTCTTGAATTTTACTACTGGCAGGCAGAAGAAAACAAGCTGCTTCTAACATAGTCTGCTTAAAAATCTCCTCAGCTCTTGGCTGTTTGAAACCTGGGGCCTATGCAGGGTCACTTGGCTCGGCCTGGGAGGAGGGGACTGGACCTACCTGGACTGAGTCTACCAGGTTGATCTCAGTCCACAGGGGAGGCTTTGCCCTGGAGGAGATGGGAATAGGGGGTGGGCTGGGAGGAAGGTGAGGGGGGCGGGAGGGGGGAGGACAAGGGAATCCGTCTGTGGCTGATATGTAGAACTGAACTGTATTGCAAAATAAAAAAAAATCTTCTCAGCTCAATCCCCATCAAAATCCCAACACAAATCTTTACAGACCTCAAAAGAACAATACTCAACTTCATATGGAAAAACAAAACACCCAGGATAGCTAAAACAGTCCTGTACAATAAAACCACTTCTGGAAGTTTCACCCTCCCAGATTACAAGCTCTACTACAGAGCTATTGATAGGGATTCATAATATGCCACCATGGTTGTGCATGCCCGGCGGACCTAGACACTTCCGCCTAGCCATTTCCGGGTCAAAATAGCCATTTCCAGGTCAAAACGTCTTGCGTGACCAGGACCCCGTGGCTTTGAGTGGTTGTGTAAAGCGCGCAGCGCAACCATGTGATCTACGCGCATGCGTGTAATAGCCACATTGGCCTGTGTGCACAGGCCGGCCCAGCCTTTATAAGCCAGCACCATGTTCCCAACTCCATCTTTATTCACGTGTGTTTTCACAGGCCTGTCACATCTGTCTCTCTTTCCTATCTTAATAAAACTCTTGTTAGTGGATTCTGTCATGTTTTGTGACATTTCCTCGCAGGGTAAGAGCACCGCAAATAACTAACAGCTATAGTATAACAACTATAGCTGTTGGTATTGGCATAAAAACAGACAGGTGGACCAATGGAATTAAATCAAAGACCCAGACATAAATCCACACAATTATGGACACTTTTGAATAAAGAAGCCATAAATTCATACTGGAAAAAAAGAAAGCATCTTCAACAAATGGTGCTGGTCAAACTGAATGTCTGCATGTAGACGTATGCAAATAGATCCAGTTTTATCACCTTAATGCCCACATTTCTCCCAACACTACATAATTGACAATATATAATCTAAGACAGTGGAAGTTTTCTCTATCCCTCTCATTGATTGCTGAATCCTCTCCAGATAACAAGTCATTCCACAGCACCATCCACTTTCCCTGGTATGTTCTTCAAAACTCCTCCGGCCCACCAAGCATTTGGTTCTTGTGGTGCCTTCAGTTTATGATAAAGTTATATGCTGCATAATGACATTTGACATTTTTCAACAAGAGACTGCATACATGAGAGCGGCCTCAAAGGATTATTAATAGAACTGGGTGTGGGGGGACAAGTCTGCAAGCTCAGCAGTCGGAAACCTAAAAAAGGAAGATCAGGGATTTGTGTCCATCCTGAGCAAAACTGACATTTTGTCTGAAAAAAGGTAAAGAAAATACAGGGGAAGGAGGAAGTTACAGAAAAGAAGGAGAGTAAATGGAGGAAGAGAGGAGAAAGGGAAAGGGGAAAGAGAGGATCATCATAAAAGAGTAGAAAAATTTCTGCCACTTCCATGACATTATAGCCATAGTAGCATCAGGCATCACTTATACGTCTGTGATGCTGTGTACTGAGCTATCAATAACACAAAAAATTTAGCACATCCAATTATATGCCTAATATATGATAAGAAAAATAACTATGTTACTAGAATACATACTTACTACACCATACTTTTATTGTTATTTTCGAGTATAAGTCTTGGAAAACACTTACTGTTAAATAGTATGTGATGTCATGCTGGTGGAGCCTCAAATACCTCCCGCTCTACTGAATTTCCTAACTGTATCAAAAACTACATTGAGTGATCTGTACCATCTATTTCTGTATTCTCTATGATGCTCACATAATGATAAAATCAGCTAACGATGCATTTCTTAGAATGTATTCCCATTGTTCAGTGGTACATTACTCTTACTAGTTATAGCAGCAGCACACTTCCTGTTACTAATTTCTGTATTATTTGAGAGATCGAGAGAGACAGAGAGACAGAGGGGGGATTTATTCTAAGGTGCTGGCTTTTTTGATTATGGAGGTTAAGAAGTTTCATGATCTGCTACATGGAAACTGTAAGAAATATCAATAGGATAGTAAGAAGTTTCAATAGCCTGAGAGTTATTGCTGGGCATTCCAATTTGGGTTTGAAGGCCTAAGAACCAGTAATACTGAGAGCAAAGGCTCCATGTTCTAAGTCATGTGACCTAGTAGTCAATTCAATCTTTCTCTACCCCTTTGTTCTACTCAGACTCTCAGTGGATTGGATAACACTGTGATGGTATTATGTTCCCCAAAAAATTGTGTACCCTAATAAACTTATCTGGGGTCAGAGAACAGAAAAGCCACTAGATACTTAGGATAGGCAGTGGCAGCACACGCCTTTAATCCTAGCATTCCAGAGGCAGAAATCCATGTGTTCAAGGATACAGCCAAGCATGGTGACTCACGCTTTTGATCCCAGGGAGTGATGGCAGATAGCAGAAAGGTATATAAGGCGTGAAGACCAGGAACTAGAAGCATTTGGCCTGGTTAAGCATTTGGCCTGGTTAAGGATTCAGGCTTTTGAGCAGCAGTTCAGCTGAGACCCATTCAGAGATAAGGACTCAGAGGCTTCCAGTCTGAGGAAACAAGATTAGCTGAGAAGTTGGCCAGGTGAGGTTAGCTGTGGCTTGTTCTGTCTCTCTGATCTTCCAGTGTTCACCCCAATACCTGGCTCAGGTTTGATTTTATTAATAAAGACTCTTTAAGATTCCTGCTACATGACACCCACCCACAGGGATTAGGGCCACCAAGTAATTCAAATGCCAAGTTCTTTGGGAAACACCCACAGAGATAAACTCCAAAATACTGTAATTAGCTACCTGGGATATCTGAGCATCTCATGGCCCTATATATTTAACCACTGTATCATTGCAGAATAATGAGTAGTAGTCCAAATAACTACTCAATTACTATTTAAAATGATCTTATATAGTACAAAAAATATACCTTTGTGAAACCTATTTGTTCCTTCCGAAAAGTTTCCAGGGGTTTGATCAGCAAGTCACTAGCATTTTGTACCTAAGGAAAAAAAAAGAAAGAAAGAAAACAATGTCTAGATTAACAAGGTTCAAATACAAACTTGTTATTCCTTATCATTAGGGTTTTTCTTTAAAATATATCATTGTGCTGGGTGTTGGTGGCACATGCCTTTAATCTCAGCACTGGGGAGGCAGAGGCAGTTGGTCCACAGAGTGAGTTCCAAGACAGCATTGTCTACACAGAGAAACCTTGTCTTGAAAAAACAAATATATTTCGAGAATATACTCGAGACTTTTTTTTGTGTGTGTGTGTATGTATATGTTATCCTGCAAACACTTTCTGAACAGGGCACTGTTAGTACAGGTACTAAGATCAACAACTAATAAATAAATAGGACTTCATGAAACTGAAAAGCTTCTGTAAGGCAGAGGACACCATCACTCATAAAAAGTGTTAGCCTACAGAATGGGAAAAGATTTTTAAAACTACACATTCCATAGAGAACTAATACCCAAAATATACAAAGAACTCAAAAAACTAAACATCAAGAAAACAAATAACCCAAATAAAAACGGGGTACAAATTTAAACAAAGAATTCTCAAAAGAGGAAACTCAAATGGCTGAAAAACACTTAAATTGTTCAACACCCTTAGTAACGAAGAATATGTAAATCAAAATTCTATTGAGATTTCACCTTATACCTGTCAAAATGGCTAAAATCAATAAAACACTTGACAGTTCATGAGGGTATGGAGTAAGAGGAACACTTATCCATTGCTGCAGAGAATGCAAACTTGTACAGCCATTATGGAAATCAATATGGTAGTTCCTCAGGAAAATGGGAATTGATCTGCCTCAAGATCCAGCTATACTACTCTTGGGCATAATCACAAAGGATACTTCATCCTACCTACCACAGAGACACTTGCTCAACCATGTTCATTGCTGCTCTATTCATAATAGCCAGAAAGTGGAAACAACCTAGATGTCCCTCAAGAGAAGAGTGGATTTAAAAAATGTGGTACAGGCCAGGTGGCAATGGCACACGCCTTTAATCCCAGAACTCGGGAGGCAGAGCCAGGCAGATCTCTGTGAGTTTGAGACCAGCCTGGTCTACAGAGAGAGCTTCAGGACAGGCACCAAAACTGCACAGAGAAACCCTGTCCTGAAAAACCAAAAAGAAAGAAAGAGAGAGAGAGAGAGAGAGAGAGACAGAGAGAGAGAGAGAGAGAGAGAGAGACAGAGAGACAGAGAGAGACAGAGAGACAGAGACAGAGAGACAGAGAGAGAAGGAAGGAAGGAAGGAAGGAAGGAAGGAAGGAAGGAAGGAAGGAAAGAAAGAAAAAGAAAATGTGGTATATTTACACAATGGAGTATTATTCAGTTCTTAATAAAATGAAGCCATGAAATTCTCAGATAAATGGGTGAAACTAGAAAAGAATCACCCTGATTAAGGTAATCTAGACCAAAAAGGCAAATATGGACTATATTCACTTATATGTGGATATTAGCTGTTAAGTCAATGATAACCAAGCTACAATCTGTAGAACTACAGAGGTTACGAATAGAATAATGGATTTGGGAGTGGAATGGCAGATAGATTTCCCTAGGAAAGGGGAATAAAATAGATGGCTATGGATAGGTGGGGGAGCTAGAAAGGGAGGTTCAAGTGAGGAGGGGGAAGAAAGAGGATGATGAGAGGGGGAATATGGGGAAAGATGGATAAAATTAAGGGACATTTGAGGGGTAGTATAAAAATCTAATACAGTAGAAGAATATAAACTTATATGAAGGAAATCTAAATGAAATCACCAAATAATGGGGGAAGCAGAGCCCTAATAGGACATCTCTTGTCACAAAATAAAGCTTTTAGTACCAGGAATGGGTAACATCTAATTGAGCTGTTGGCCAAAGGGTCCCATGAAAACCCTGAAACAATCCAAGCTATTGCCAAGATTATAGGTTGCTCTCCACAAACTGATGGAGGCCCTATTGCTGAAGATACTTAGACAACTCATTGAACATAGAGAAGTTGAGCTGGTACCTACCTAGAACCTTCACCCCTACATGCTAGGGACTTTGGTAGAGGAAGGTACTCTACATGCTACAAAGGAGAAACATAAACACTGACCCAGCTACAAACCATTTGATTTACAATCTGTCCTGCCTGCAAGCAATGCTAGTCCAATGGTGGAACAATGCTTGGGGGAGTAAACAAACAGTGTCTGGTTTGACTTAAGGTCCAATCCATAAGATGGAACACTTACCCAACTCTGCCTGGGTAACCAAGAACCTGAGACTAACAAGCCCAGAGACCTATGGTAAAACCAAATACTAATATTCCACTAAAACAATGTACAAATAAAATGACTCCTGACGATATTCTGCTATACTCATAGATCAGTGCCTTGCTTAGCCACAATCAGAGAAGCTTCCTCCTGCAGCAGATGGGAACAAATATAGAGACCCACGCCCAGACAATATGCAGAGAATGAGAGACTTTAGAACACTCAGCTCTAACCAGGATGCTTCCACCTAATCCCTCCATTCAGGATTCAGGGAACATTGTTGAAGAGGAGGTAAAAAGATGTATGATCCAGGAATGGAGGACACCAAAGAAACAAAGCCCTCTAAAATAAAAGGATTGAGGCACATATGAACTCAAAGAGACTGAGGTAGCTTGAACAGGGCCTACACGGGTGTAAGCCAGATGGTATCCTAGACCTGGAAGAAGAGGATACATGTCTCCATCCCTAACCTAGAGGCAATCTCCAATTGACAACTACTTGCAAATAAAAATTTCCTTTTCTCCAAGGGAATTTCACTGGGGAAACAAACTACTCTTAAGAATAGACTACATGCCAAGCAGTGGATGGCCAACAAAAAATAAATGCAGTGGCATCTTTGGAGGTCCCTTGCCTATAATGTGGTATCACTTTTTTAAATCTTATTTTTTAATGTTTATTTAATTTATATATGATTTTCTCTCTTTTAACGCTACAAGTCCTCTACATATATATTATGTCTTCCAGTTTATTGTTTTTAAGAGAATTCTGAGTGTACAAATGAGTGGGTCTATTTCTTGTGCCTTCTCTTGGGCTCTTTTTTTTCTATGTTTCTTTTGTCCTATTCCAATGTATGAATTTTTGTTTTATATTATTATTTTATTTTATATTTATTATATATATTATATATTTATTTTATATCATCCCTTTGAAGCCTGTTTGTTTTCTAATGAAATACAAAAAGGTGGGAGAGGAGATAAGGAGTAACTAGGAGGAGTAGAAAGAGGGGAAACAACAATCAGGATTTATTATGTGAGAAAAAAATTATTTTCAATAAAAGGAATAATAAATAACTTTTGTGTAAAATGAAAAATATTTCATTCTGAAACATACTAACTGGACTAGGGGCATATCTCAGGAGTAGTGGACATGCTTATCATGTTCAGGGCCAGGAGATCAAGTCTCAGCTTTGAAAAAAATATTAATTTGTTTTCTTTTTATTGACTTTTGTTAGTTCTTTTATGAAAACCAAAAAATGCTTTGAGGAAAGAAACATAGAAGGCATTTCTTCACTCAGGATGATTTTTTTTCTAGTTCCATCCATTTGCTGACATATTTCATGATGTCATTTTTTAAAATTACTCCATTGTATAAATTTACCACATTTTCTATTTCCATTCTTTGGTTGAGGTACATCTAGATTCTAGTTTCTGGCTATTATGAATAAGAACATAGTTGAGCAAGTGTCTTTATGGTAGGATTGGGTGTCCTTTGTGAATATGCCTAAGACTGGTATAGCTGGGTCTGGAGGTAGATCAATTCCCAATTTTCTGAGGAACTGCCATATTGATTTCCATAGTAGAAAGCTTGCACTCTCACCAGCAATGGAGGAGTGTTCCTCTTACTCCACATCCTCTCCAGCATGAGCTGTCTCTTGTGTTTTTGATCTTAGCCATTCTGACAGCTGTAAGATGGAATCTCAGAGTTCTTTTGATTTGAATTTCCCTGCTGGCTAAGGATTTTGAACATTTCTTTAAGGTGTTTCTTGACCATTTGAGATTGCTCTGTTGAGAATTCTCTATTTAGACCTGCACTCTATTTTTTAACTGGATTAGTTGGTTTGTTGATGTCTAGTTTATTGAATTCTTTATATATTTTGGATATTGGCCCTCTGTCATATGTAGAGTTGGTAAAAATCTTTTCTCATTCTGTAGGCTGCTGTTTTGTCCTGTCAAGGTGTCTTTTGCCTTATAGAAGCTTTTCAGTTTCATGAGATCCCATCTATTAACTGTCAATCTTAGTGTCAGTGCTATTGGTGTTCTGTTCAGGAAGTTGTTTCCTGTGCCAATGTGTTCAAGGCTATTCCTTACTTTCTCTTCTACCAGGTTCAGTTTATATATTTTTATGTTGAGGTCTTTGATGCACTTGGACTTGAGTTTTGTGTAGGGTGATTGATATGGATCTATTTGGATTCTTCTACATGCTAACACCCAGTTTAACCAGCACAATTTGTTGAAGATGTTGTCTTTTCTCCAGTATGTATTTCTGGTTTCTTTATAAAATATCAGGTTCCGACGATACCATGCTGTTTTTATTACTATAGCTCTGTAGTAAAATTTGAGGTAAGGGATGGTGATAGCTTCAGCAGTTCGTTCATTATTCACAATTATCTTAGCTATATATAAATATATAATTATATTATATATTTTTTTATGTTTCCTTAAGAAGCTGAAAATTATCCTTTCAATTTCTGTGAAGAATTGTGTCAGAATTTTGATGTGGATTGTACTGAATCTGTAGATTACTTTTGGTAGCATGGCCATTTTTACTAAACTAAACATATCAATCCATAAGCATGTAAAATCTTCTCATCTTCTGATATCTTCCTCAATTTCTTTCTTCAATGTCTTAAAGATTTTATTATCCAAGTCTTTTGCTTGCTTGGTTAGAGTTACCCTCAAGATATTTTTTGAGGCTACTATGAAGGGTATTGTTTCCATGATTTCTTTCTCAGTCTGTCATTTGAATATATG